CCATTCTTATCCGGTTTTAAAAACTAAACTTTAGGATAAAATGGAACAAGCACTACATTAAAAAGCGTAGACAAACTCTACAAACGCACAGAGGATTAGGATAATGACGTCACGCGCTCTGATTGGGGTTTGATATCACGTGACAAATGTCGTTATTTTTTAATTTTAGTTTTACTAAAATATAATAGTTTCTCGTGTACATTACAAAAGAAAGTTATTTTGCGATACCCTGACACCTTACTCTATCTTATGGAACAAAAATTTATTTATTCTTTTTCCACTGTCATGTACCCTATTCTGGGCCTGTAGTGTATACCCGTCTCAAATGTAATCTAGCAGCATGCGATGTAATGTAGGAGGTACCTAATGTAAGCTTGACACATCATCCGATTCAAATTTATATAAAACCACGAGATCTACAGCTTTTTAATCAGTTCGACTCAAGTTCTGCTTGTCGCTTTCTTGGACCACTTTATTGATGATTGTAAAAGTAACATTCGGTAGTTAAAATTTGGACTGAAAATTGTTGAATCGATAAAGAATAATTAGTCTTTGGTCTATAAAGTTCCAATGAATTTCGCCTATCGGATAAATCGGATTATTCGCGAAGTTGTTCGTGTATAGTGCGATTATTGATACAATAAAAAAATCATAACGCCCTTACTTTCCAATCGATTTCGAGAAATAAAGAAGCATTGGATTCGTATTTTAAAGCGTCACAAATTCCTTTTCCTAACTTTTTCCGAAAAAAATAATAATAACAAAGTTATTAGCAAAAAACATGAAAATCCAAGATGGCGGCTCAATTTTCAGGATGTTCCGCACCTCGGACATATGGGGACTTTTAGTATGTTGAAGAGCATTATTGGTACTACTAATTTCGGACATCGGTTGCTTGTCCCTCGGCTTGTCCCGATTTTACTCGACTATACCTCGCATACGCAGTGTATCATACCTAGAAATATCAAATTTATTTATTTATTTAGCAGTTGTTAATTTTCCCTCGCTGTCGTCTCTGCTTATCTAAGAGTCTAACAGCGATGGCGATAAATCTACACAATAATATTGCTGTGTGTACTGGTTCGTAGGCCAGAAAGACCGTACACAAAACACCTACACAAAAACCTAGCTAGCTCTTTACCTTCACTTATTATCCCAGCACAAAACTTCCCCCCCAACACAGAGGAAAGATTCGACCCTGCTCTCAATCAACCTGTTAACTTCTAACAGATAGTGGGTCAAACTAAATACCTTCAACTCCAAACGAAACTGCTAAATTTTGAATAATTAAAATGTACATTGGGCAAGCATCCATTCCAAACACAGGTAAATTAGAACTGAAGTCGTTAGAATGAAACAGACAAAAATTAATGTGAAAATTACAACAGTTTGATTTAATCGTAACACACACAAGGAAAATGATACAAAAACACAAACAACTGTTACAAAAACACTAAAATTAAGACTTAATTACTTACATTACATGTCCGGGAAATGTAATCCAAATAAATGGTATCCTTACATAAAACACAAAAACAATTTTCAATTAACCACTTGATTAAACAATTACACTATAACGACCGGGTAATCGCAGCATCTCCACCTCGGTTAGGCAAAGATGTTCCAAAAGAAAACTCAACTTCAAAACGAGTCACGTTGAAAAACACACGCGCCGACAAAACTTCTCCTTGAAGCACCTTTGATGGCCAAAACTTCAAACTTTAACACGTAGAACAAATAATTAGCCGCGATTTCGGCTTCCGGCTACGCTAACGGAACTTCTTCTATCTCCACCTTCCCACTAGGCGAAACTTTCAAGACTGGCCGTGACTTCAAACTAGCTGGCCGTCGTTGCAACACAAATAATCCACGAAGGAACGGGCAAAAAACGAAATAAATTCCTCTACGTAACGGAACTCTGTACAACCAATCATACACAATATCACACATTAATTAACTAAAATATTAGGAAAAATAAGCATTTACAATTGATAACAGATAAAGCTGCCCTGTTTATAGTAATATGCAGAACGGTCGATTCCGTATTTGAAATGTACACCAGTTTTTCTAAGGAAACATCGGCGTTGACTGTTTCGAAGCCATAAATTCTTTATGCACATCTAAATGCACAGAATTTGTTTGTGCAATAAAAACATTAACGAAAATATAAACTTACGTTCGAGTGTGGTCAATCGCTTAATATGGGAGCGAAAGTAAAGGTTGGTTTTAACCGCGGTTTTAACTTGTAAATAAAGCGTTCGGGTGGTAATGAAAGATATCCGTAGACATAGGAAACATGTAGAAATGTGCAAACTATGCGGGCCACTGACTTAGTGAAAGAACGGTGCAATTTGGTCGTTTAATGCGTGGACTAAAAATGTACACAAAGTGCGAACTCACTCTCGAAATACCTACTTTTCTACAATGTAAGTTCTTTTCAATTAATCTTAATTATTTGAATCAGAGATATAATATTTGCAAGTCGCAAGGCTCAAGCCAAGTAGCCTTTATAATCAGAATGTACATGTTCGCGATGGGGCGTGATTTAGGAACAGAGATAATTAATATAGACTTTGCAGTGTTACGTTGCACTTTATTGGGATTAACTAAAATTAAACCAAGACATGCGAACTGCTTTCGTAATTTATACTAAATTTAAGTGGAGGAATTAGTTATCTCCTTTACTTGCTTTTCTTGTAATTAACTTTATTTTAACTTTATTCATAGAGTTCTTTTCATTAATTTTGAATAGCATTGGGGCAGTTGTAATAATTAACTTAAGTAGGCCGAAAATAATGAATATAAACTCGCTCCGGCTTCACCGTTTACCGGGAAACATAAAATGGCATACAATGCCAATGAAAATATTGCCCAAAAAAGTGGACAGATGGTGCAAGTAGTGTAGAAAATATGCTTAGTAGGCATCCATCATGACAGAAAACTCGGAACCATTGTCTACGTTCGAAGAAATCTAACACGGTTTCAGGAACTAGTATTAAGGGATAAAACAAGAGTATAATTCCCTGAGGGAACAGTAATACTCCGAGCGACGTATTCGCGAGGGTATTGCATTCACCGAGGGGAAATATACTCCGTTTTATCCCGTGGTACATTCTACGTTTTATTTTTTATTGATAATAGTAGAATTCCTGTTGAAAAGTAAATTAATTTGCAAATAAAAATTTCACATCTGATTCGCGTTGTTGCTTGCATATGGGGTTGGTTGCGACCATGATATAAATAAAACAAGATATGCTAGATTGCCGTTCCAAATTCGTCCAGTTCGCGCATGACGTCACGCGGTGATAAAATTTGAATTCAAAGCCGGATTTTTTTTCTTAATTCTACTACAAACACTAAAATTTCTTAATTATAATGGTTTAGGGGAAAAAGAGAGTTGAAATTATAAAACCTAAACGCAAAATATGCCGAAAAATATCAAGAGATCGTTAAAGACCATCTTTAAAAATGCTATAAGCTATAATTAAGCGCACCATAAAAAGAGGAAATGCAGGCGTTTTCCATAATATGGTAAGATACCTACTTATGCTAAAGTATCTAAACATTGTGGAGTAGATATTAAAAACGAAATGACTAATATAAAATATTGGAATTATACTAGATTCAAAAACGGTATTCGATCAGATAAAAATATATTGAATTATTGTTCTTTATTGCTAGATAAATTGGTAATATAGAATTTAAAAAGTAAATCGGACATCAGGAAGTGTAAAGGAGTAGGTACAAAAAAAGACATGTTTGTTATTAGAATAGTCTCAAGTTATTTACAAAATATTAAATAAACAAGTACACATAATTAAATTACTAATCTCGTGAACACTGAGATATGAGATGGAGTCAAACACTATTATTACTACCTTCTTTAATATTCCAGGCATTAATTGAATTTTTTTAAATCATGCTCTAAGCGCTGACACTGCTGGCAGAGGGTATCCTTTTTTCCGTAACAACCTATAGGCTCTTGTACCAGCTGAATCAAGGATAATAGCTTTCGAAATATCTTCAATTGTCCATGTTACTCGCTTATAAGGATGTTTCAATAATATACAGATTTCAGTGGTGGTGAAAAACCTGTGAAAAATTTCATTTTCTTCTTTTAATTTGGAATTATCTCGTCTCTGTTGTCAGCATCAGTGTTCGTACTGAAAAACGTCTCTAAACCAATTTCTAATACACCAAAACAAGAAACTTACTTGGTTTGTAGGAGAGTCGCAACTAATTTTGACCTATTTCTTTTATTAATGCGACTGGTTCGGGCCGATTCCCCTTTCACATCCTTTGAGTTCCCCAGTGGCAAATTGAGAAATGGTACGGCATCTGGTTTCAACAGTGGACGATTTCGGGCGGTATAGCCCAGTAGTTCAAACCGCAAATTCCGTTCATAAGACGACTCGTCAAAATGTTTCGAACATACTCTGGTAGTTTTCACATTAATGTGACCTGGCCGGTTACAAGGTAACACCCAACGTTTTTGAAAATTTTGATCATTCGGGAACCGGAAAAGCATTAGATTGCTTGAAAACTGTTTTGATCCATTAGCTGTGGTACATCCAACCACGGAACACCTCATTTTGTTGAAAACTGATTCACAAATTCCAAAAAAGCACCAAAATCTACACTGACATGTAATTATATTTAATTTGAAATTCACCGCGTGACGTCACACACGTGATTCATAACTCCTCCTACATGCGCAATATCGTCGGCCTAATGTGAAAAGTGCATAAGTCCATTTTTATCGAAAAGTGAATTTTAACGGCATCTGATAGACAAGCAGCGAATCTATGTCTTTCAATTGAATAATTCTGTAAAATAAAATCAGATGTCGCCAGAAGTATAAGTCTGAAATGCGCACAAGTCCCATGCATACTAGAACGGTACGAAAATTGCACAAGTCCTTATATTAGTAGTTGTTGCATGAAGTTAATGGCGGTGTTTTACTGTTTGTTTTATTAAACCTCTGATCTGATTGTCCGCAATTAAGTGTGTTAATACATTGTACAGGTAAATATAAACCCTTTTAAATAGACCAAAAACTTTACACATTTGTTGAAATCAATAGCAGTGTAAATAATACGCCTTTTTCTTAGCAGAAGGAGTTGTGCAATTTTCACATAACTAATATTTGTACAGCTGATAGGAGTTATGCATGTTACAGATTTAAACCTGCTTGTTTGCAGCTTTGTTTTGAATTATGCCTAAATTGACCAATTTTTAAATTTTAAATCCTCTCAGTATTTAACAAATTTTAATGTTTTTGATTTCTGTTTTTAACTTCGGGGTGAAAAAAATACAAGCAAAAATACAAATAAAAATTATTAATTTTCTTTTAGCTATGGATCGTAGGTCGAGGAGCTTCAAAATACTGACTTTAGCACAACAGCCTACCAGTGTTTTAAACGAGAGACGAAATGTTGAGAATGAAAATTATTTCATAGAAGCAACTGAAGTGGATCTACAATCGGCTATTGTAGCACTTACCGAAGAGATTGAAATAACAAACCAACTTTTTGAGCAAGAAGGAGCAGGAAATGATTTATCGCCCAGTTTGATAAATAACGCAATACATGAAACTGAGCAAACAGAAGATAACCACTTTGTGGCAGAAGAACCGGCTAATCTTTTAGAGCAAGTGAAAAATACAGCAAATTATACTAGACGTAAAGATGAAGAGAAAATGTCACATAATCCTGAAGAAGTTGACAACAACAGCACCGATCCAACGTATGAGATGGATACCTCCGAAGACGAAAATGATCCTAATATAGCAAATGTGCGAAAAAGGAAGAAAAAAAGATTGTCCGATCCCACTTCTTGGAAATATAATATAAACAAGAAGAACAGAGAAAAGGGCACTGTGTACATGGGAAGAAAGGAAAACAAGTTTGATGTTATGAAAAATGAAAGAGCAATGAAAGAAAGATGTCAATGTGTCCATAAATTAACAAAAATGGGCAATGAAATGAGTATTCAGTGTTACAAATTAACAAATGAAGATCGAAAATCTATTTTTTTTAAATTTTGGTATCTCTCCTGGGCAGAAAAAAAACGGTATGTATCTGCAAGAGTCTACAAAAAGAGCACAAAGAGAGCCAGAAATAGAAATGATCCAGAGGTAAGTCAGAGGACAAGTTCGTATACATACTTACTTAGAACCACAAAGGAACAAATTAGAGTATGCAAGGTGATGTTTTGTAATACGTTGGGCGTTTCCATACGAACAATTTCAGAATGGGTAAAAAATGAATTAACTAGCCCTGCTAAAAATGATCAAGACCAACACACTACAACAAGTGCAGAAAAGAGGCATGACCGTTTTAAACAAGAGAAAATAAAATTAAAAAGATTTTTAGATTACCTCCCTAAGCTCGAATCGCATTACTGTCGAAAATCTTCAACAAAATTATATTTAGAGCCATTGTTTAAAGCAAAATCAGAAGTTTACGCACTTTATAGGGATTGGTGTGTAGAAGAAAAAATAAATCCTTTATGTAGTGCCACATTCTCCAACACGTTTGAAGATTTAAATTTATCCTTATTCATGCCAAAAAAAGACGAATGTGATGTCTGCGTAGGCTATAAGACCAAAAATGTAGAGGAAACTGTTTACATGGAACACATTGCCAAGAAAGAAGAAGCGCGAGCAGCGAAGGCAAATGATAAAAATTCAAAGAATAGGGTTTTTACAATGGACCTCCAATCGGTATTACTGTGCCCAAGGTCAAACGTGTCGGCTCTGTATTATCGCACAAAGCTAATTGTGCATAATTTTACTATTTTTGATATGCACTCTAAATTACTATTTTCGACAAACTCAATAATAAATTATACAGGCTTCGTTCTTCTAAGCTTTCGAATGTCGGAGAGATCCCGAAGGGAACCATCCCTTTCTTATTTCATGATAGAGTTTTAAACTTATCGAATGTACAATTTAAAAGAGATGAAGAACTCATTCTGAATAAAGGTCTCAAATTTAACCCCGGTCATTGGGATAAGAATACTTTAGACAACTTCAAAACAGATTTAGAATGTGTGATTCATAAACTAGATAATAAGGTTGATCAACACCATTTCCGAGCTTTATGTCATAACAAGTTGAAGCTAGCCACACAACCTAAGGGTATTTTTCATCAAAAAGTGATCAATTCTTTAAAGAAAAAATTTAAAATCAATAATTTAATTGCAACAAAAGCTGACAAAGGTAATGCGGTAGTCATTATGAACAAAGTTGATTACATCCTTGGTGTTGAGAATTTCCTTTCTACTGATGATTTTACTAAATCCAAAGTTAACAACGAGGTGTTCCAGAAAAAAGTTCGTAAATTTCTCTTTGACAACAAATCCCTCCTTTATGAATATTTCCAGATTCCTTATCTTCGTCTTACACACATGAACCCTTCCTTTCCCAGATTATATGCCCTTCCCAAAATCCATAAACCAGGTTACCCTATAAGACCAATTGTTTCCTTCACCAACACCCCAGTTTCCAAGATCACTAGTTGGCTTAACTCTGCTCTTAGAAATTCTCTTGCACTCCAATTTCCCCACTCAATCAAAAATTCCATTACCCTAGTGGAGGATATTAAAAATTTCCGGATTACTGATTCGGATATCCTTGTTTCCTTTGATATCGTCAACTTGTTCCCGAGTATTCCCTTTATAGAATGTCTGAATATAATTGACGACCTCCTTATCCATTCCCCGCTTCCTGACCAAGTTTGTTCTTTCATTTCCAGATCCCTCCAATTGTGTTCTCAACAGAATTATTTCTCTTTCAATAATAACTACTATATCCAAACTTCAGGTCTACCGATGGGTAGTAATTTATCCCCTTTGCTCGCTGAAATATTTCTGAACCATTTGGAATCCTTACTTTTCCAGTCCGAGGTCATTAAAACTCATTTTTTGTTTTACAAGAGATATGTCGATGATATATTGGTTATCTTTAGAGGTAATAGGTCCGAGTTACATGAGTGTTTCCAAATTTTGAATTCCCTTCATCAGAATATCAAATTCACGCTTGAAATCGAATCTAATAAGTCCCTCAATTTCTTAGACCTGTCACTCACTAGAGGAATTGCTAATGTTGAAATCGGCATCTACAGAAAAACCACCACTACGGACCATGTTATCCCTTATCATTCGTGTCACCCTTTATCACACAAACTTACTTCCTTCCGTTATTTTTTCCATAGACTCCTTTCCCTTGACCTTCCCGAACCCCACCACTCGAGAGAACTTAACATCATTTATCATATCGCTTTAGCGAACAATTACCCGTTACAGCTGATTAATAAGTTATACCGTAGAATGCTGTGTAAAGACAACCTCTCGAGGTGCACTTCCCTTTCTCAGTTCCCTGATTCCCCTTCCATTTATTATTCCTTACCTTACATAGGCCCGATCTCTGATATCATTGCTCGTCTTTTCCGTCCCCTCAACATCTCCATATCCTTCTCAGTCAAGAGTAATCTCAAGTCTAATTTGGTGAAAACTAAAGATCCTATACCTCCCTTATCTAAATCAGGGGTTTATAAATTGGTTTGTCGAGATTGCCCAGCTGGTTATATTGGTCAAACTGGTCGCTCATTCAAAACCCGGTTTTCCGAACACATTTCCGCTATCAAAAACAATAACCTCAAATTCGATCACCCTAACCAAGGTTCTTCCTTTGCCCACCACATCCTGAGTTCTGGTCATTCGTTTTCGAAGGAGGATTTTGAAATTCTTCATGTTTGTAATAAAAGCCTCAAACTAGACTTACTAGAAATGAAAGAAATTTACCATCACTACAGAGAGAATCCTCAACACTCCTTGAACGAAATTTTAAATTTAAACAAGCATTTGTTATTCTTGACTAATTAACCTCTACCCCTTTACGCTTGTCAACGTGGTGTTTCTCCCCCCCCCCTTTTTTCCCCTTTTTCTGCCTTCAGCAGATTGGGGGGTTTTCAACTTGAGGGCACACTAATCTTTCCGCGAGTCCCGACATCTGCCATCAGCAGGCACAGGGTAGTTTGGCCCATAAATTTTAGTACAATTAAATAACAATAGCCTAATGCAAGCTATGTTGCATTCTTTCACCTTTCTTCTCACTTCGTCCCGTTACCTAATCCGGCCCTGTTTAACCTTGTTGTTTTTAAATTTCCCGCTTTTTATTTCCTTCTTTAACCTTTCCCTTTTCGTTACCTTTCGAGTTAAGTCGTTGACTATATTTGTACAAGATGGCTGCGTCCATTTTCTAATGGCATGAATTAATTAATTAATCGTCGTTGTATCATGACTATGTTAATTTTGTTCCACTTTTCTATGTCCTAACACCAACTGTTTTATATTTGATAAAAAAATTTTTCCTGTAAGTATTAATTATGTTCAACTAGTGGTTAACACATGTTCTTTCCAGCATACTGATAAAAAATGTAACTTCTGTACTTTCAATTTCCTATTTTCTGTTGTTGATGTTTTAAATTTTAAGGTATGTATATTTCAAGATTGTTACTCGTTATTAGTTACAATTTTCCTACAGCTTGAAAATGACTTAGGTCGAAACTATAGTCGCTATGTGATTTTATTCACAATTTTTTAATAAAGAAGTATGGGGAAGGTTTAGTGTGTTAAATTCCTATTCAACTGCACTCTAAAGATGGGTATTGTTATCTTTGGCACGAGGGCGAAGGCGAGCTTGGTGCTAATTGCTTTGCGTCGATCATAAGTAATTTTTTAATTAATGAAGTGATTCCTCAGCTTGAGCCCACCCAACAAATAATATTATTCAGTGATGGCTGTAGCGCCCAAAATCGTAATTGCACTTTGAGCAACGCCTTATTAAACTTGGCGATCGAGAAACAGGTTTGTATCATTCAGAAATACTTAGAAAAGGGACACACTCAGATGGAGTGTGACTCCATGCATTCAACCATAGAGCGAAAATTGAGGAGAAGAACCATTAACGTGCCGGCTGATTACGTATCCTTATGTAAATTGGCCAGAAAAAATCCGAAACCATACCACGTGAGCTATTTGGATCACACATTCTTTAAAGATTATTCTAAACTGAATTTAATAAAATCAATAAGACCTGGATATAAAGTTGGTGACCCTACGGTAAATAACTTAAGAGCTCTGAAATATAATTCAGATGGCCAAATTGAATTTAAGATTAAGCATTCTGAGGAATATGAAGTAATGCCCATGAGGTTGAAAAAAAATCTTAATAAAGGTGTACCAAATAATTCTCTACCAGCATTGTACAGCGAGCCCCTAAAAATCAAAAATGAAAAGTTTGAACATCTCATGTTTTTGAAAAAGTCTCTCGAAAAGGATTATCATAATTTTTATGACAATTTAAGACATGAATAATACCTACACTTTACTTTTGTTTACATACTATTTAACTATGTTTGTTTAACGAATTTTGAATATTCCATTCAAACAGCTTTTTATGCATTCGAAATATAAATAAATATCGTTTTAAAATGTTTGGTTTTTATGTGAAAATGGAATAAGTCCCATTTCATACTGCATCTGAAAATGAAATTTGCATAACTCCTTTATTTTTATAACAATTATTTGAAAATGACTAAAATCACTACAGGAGAGCACACTAATAATATTTTTTCATCTTTTATTGATATAAAACAAGTACATTCTTTTCCCAAAAGAATTAACCTGTTTTTTCGTTCCCCTGTAAAATTTGGGTTTTTAGAGATGTGCAATTTTCACATTAGGCCGACGATATCATATCTTATATTTACCTATTGTATCATGGTTGCGACTGCCATGGTTACCTAGTTACATATATAAACAACAAAAAATGCTGCGTCCGTCATTTTGAAAGCAATTTTTGTGTCGTTTGGCTTTGTTCAAGAACGGAAAATGTTGGAAGGGAATGAAGATGATGATGTTCCCATGGGGGGAATAAAAGAAGCTGAAGACGCTCTTAAGGAGTTAGTGCCGGCGGCTTCAAAAACATTATATGAAAACGAATACTCCAAGTTTTGTAAATTGCGATCGGAAAAATCCTTGAAGATTGTGAACGAAAAAATTTGTTTGGCGTATTTTAGTGAACGATCTAAGCAGGGAAAACCGTCTTGTTTGTGGACCTACTACTCCATGCTTAGATGCATGCTGCGTGTGCGAGAGAACCTAGACATTTCAAGGTATTATTTATACACATTATTAGTCGAATTTGAACAATACTAAAACGTTCTTTTGGATTATAGCTATGGGCAATTGAAACCGTTTTTAAAAAATAAGAATCAGGGATTTAAGCCCAAGAAGTCTAAGATTCGCCATTCACTGTCTGAGGGAAATCTGAAAAGTACCTAGACGTATTTCAAAATGTTGTTTTACACACAATTGCTACAATGGATCTGTATCACAACCTACAAAATGAATGATGTTATAGTAGCGTAAAAGAAGACCATTTTAATAAATAGGTATAACATGGTTACCACCTATGAAATGTCATTCTCGTTCCTTCTGTAGGTTTTGACTTATATTACACGATTGACAGCGAACCATTGTGTTTGACTTTACCGTAAATGTCAATTAATTGTCAAAGTAGTCCTATTGTTCTGACAGGGAATTAGATTTTATAACTCCCGTTGTTATGACAGCGGGAATTATGGGTCTGTTTATGTGGCTATAGACTAGTATTTTAACCACCATGTAAATTATCAATAAAAAATAAAATATTTTATTATCACGATAATTTAGAACGCATAACATTCAGTATTTTCTATCAGGCTGTCTCTGCTTTTATCCAAGAGTGTGGTGTGTCGCTTTGGCTTAGATTAAGGCATGGAAGACAGTTTAGTATTTATTCAGGGACACCTGAACCTCGGTTCAGTGTTGGAAATGAATAATTGGTACAACCGTGATTCTGTCCTTCGATGCATCCCTTATCGAGTT